AACTACCTCCACTGTTTACCCATAAAAGGAAATACAGAAGTCATCTTCCCAACTCAGGGCAGGTTTTCTCCCTGGGTTAGGCTGTCACTAGGATGTCTCTTGAGATTCTCCTCCTCATTTTCTAGTTGTCTATTTCCCAGAGAACCTAAAATCCATACTGCGCTGGGTGAAGTTGAAAAACTACACTTGCCACAACAATTTTCTTTTTCTTTTTTTTTTTTTGCCTGGCAAGCATAAGGATGATTGTCACACAATGTCAATCCAGGATGCACTACAAAAATCATGTCATCTGGTCAAGACCCCAATTTTGCAACTTTTATTCACAAGGAATATTATGCATGCATGTAGTCACACATTCCCCAGTGGGATTATTCACACACAAGTAAACACTGCATGGTATGAGTAATGGTTGCAAAACCAGCCCCTAGACTGGTACAATCAGTAATTTCTCCAAGACTGTCAGAGGTTCCTGGCAGTCCTCAGCCAGGATAGCCAGTATGTCAGTTGGCAGTTAGGAAGCAAGAGATGCACAGCAACCTTATTGTAAGTGCAGATCAATCAGCATTTCAGTTATAGGATATGAAAGGGATTCTCCCTCTGTTTGTAGTCTCTGTATGCTGCAGTGGCAAATAACAGCTGTAAAAACTACTTGTCAGCCAAGGTAAAATTCCATATACCTCCTCTGATATCCACAAAAATATAGTACAAGAATCATCTGCATAAGTTAATATCCACATGCTGCCCAGTTTCAAGACAAAGTTTTTACAGCCAAAATTGGTGGCAACTCTATTGAAGAGATGTAAAAATATGGATACCATTTCAGGGAACACAGAGTCCTATGCTTTTTCACAGAGAAAGTGAACAGTTTTTCCATACAGTATAAGGTAGCTTATCTTTGCCATTTGCAAATGGTCAGTGAATGCTGAAATATTAATAGAGGTGTGTAGATATTTGCTGACAGCACATTAAGATTACTCAGAGATTTTTTGGTTGATATTTTTTCCTTTTCAATTTTCTGACCTCATTTTTTACAGGCTAACATACATTATATTGGGGTTTTGTCCTTATTCATGCCATTTTTTCCTCACACCAGACCTCCTAAGATTTTCTTATAGCTTTTGCACTGTACCTTAGAAAAGTACTGAGCAGGCAGTGTGGCTTGAGGTTAAATTCTGAGACAGCCTTTGCAGTAAGTTGCTGAACCTTCAGTGCACAAACCACAGAAGCATATGGGCCAATAAGCCTATGATCCAAAACAAGAAAGACAGATGGGAAACATTACTGTGACTGCTTTATGGCATTTTAAAAAACTTAAAACTTTCATTTTTTTAAAAAGTTATATTTTGCAGGCTGTTAGCTTGCAACCTGGAAAGCTTTTTGCATTCTTCTTTTTAAGAAAGTAAGATGGCAGTTACTTAGATTTAAAACACAGTGTCTGTACATACGCTGTGTTCTCTTTTAACAGCACTTTTCACCAGCTACGTTGTCTAGAATAAATGTAGAAATCAGTAAATTTAAGTGGCATTATATGGGTTAATAGTTATTTACCCCAAAGTCATTAATAAAAGCCCATAGGCTCAGGAGGCTGCTACTTGGTATTAAAGGAATTGCCACATTCTTTAGTACATATTTCTGTAGCACATACTTACTTTGGCCACCAAGAAAAGAAACCAAAAAGTGAGCAGACGTACTTTATACCCTTGAGCCAGCAAATGCTGTGTTAATATTAAATTCTGGTAGAATACCAACTGTAAATCACTGACTAGACATACCCATATTGATTAGGATGCTAACAGAAAAATCCAGATAGACATATGTGTGCAAAAGAGAAAATATTCACCCCAATGTACAAAACTCTTACTTTAAAATGAACCCTTGATACAGGGTCATCTGCTGCATATTCTATACTCATTTGCATGGAAAAATAGGAGTTCTGTTGGTGGAATGAATGCAGAACATACTTTAGAGATTTTTACATTATCTTTGGGGCTATGCTCTAGCTCTAACCTTCCCCTTAAATAATTGTACACTGAAACTATAAAAGCAGTATTAATATGTGAATATAATCTCAGTAGCATAATGGGGGGAGGGAGGGCAAGAAGGGCACCAGACCCAGGCACCAACTTAGAGGGGATGCCAGCATGATGGCCCCTTCCCCCCAGAGTCTTTGCCACATCTGGAACAGCCCTGTCCCCTGTGTTCATAGGAGACAAGCTTACAAAGTCCCATTCTGCCTGGCTGAAGGAGCTGTGTGCCAGGACACAGCAGGAGCAGCCCTGTCCTGCCCAGTCCTAGAAGCTGAGCTGGAGCAGTCCTGCACTGCTCAGCAACAGGAGCCAAGTACAGGAACTCAACAGAAGCAGTGGGAGTCTTTGAGTCCTTGGGGCAGCTAAGATCCTCCTATGGAGAGGCAATGCAGGGCTGCTCCTGCTGTATTCCAAAACACAAGTGCTACACCTTGATGGTGCATGGCTTCTCCAGCTGGGTTCCTATCGCCGGGGGAGGGGAAGGGGGGGAGGAGTGGAGAACTACTCCAAATGCAACAAGGGAGAACTTGATCCCACTCTGCAGAGCTCTTTCCTGGGGCTTCAAAATTAACAGTTACAACCTCTGTGTGCTCTGGCCAACTGTGCACCAAACCTCTGTGCAGATTAACCCTCAAAAGCAAACCCATCCCCAGTCAGGTAGCAATCACTTCCAGGAAAGTTTCTCCCAGGAGAATGGATGCCTACACACTTCGCTGTCACTTGACTTCTCCCAGGGACCAGAAGGAGTTGAGCAGTGGAGAAGTGCTGCTGACACCCTTCTGTGACCAGGATCATCCCAGACTGGGGAAGGCAGTCAGAACAGCTGTTGCTGTTCACTTCCTCCCAGTCCCAGGAGAAGTTGAACAGCAGGAAAAGGCCCCTGTGCCTTCTCCAGACCAGGGTCATCCTGGTTTGGAAAAAAAAAGGCACGAGGGCAACATCCATATACCAGAAGGAGAGGGAAGGAGTAGCCACCCCCTGCTCCCTGCCCACTCCTCACACAGGCAGGGGGCCTTGCTTGCCATCTGTCCCCGGCAGGAAGCTTTGCCTTGCTGCTCCAGTCCCCTCCAGGAACAAGAGGACTCGAGTAGCCACTGTTTCCCATGCTTTCCCCAGACCAGGATCACCCTGGGCAGAGAAAGGGGCAAAGAGCAGGGAAGAGGAGACAGTTACAAACTGAATGCCTGTACTGTTCCCTCTCCCAAAACATTCCTAACAGTGGAAAATTTCCATCACGGGAAATGAATGCATTTGTGGCCCCAGACATGTAAGCCCCACAGCTCAGTATCTACATTTATGGATTCACAGTCTTTTCTCGAAGTTTACAAGCGATCCAGGATCAGAGTTGTGGGGATCTAGTCCATGCTTTCTTTTAACTAATGTTTTTTCTGACAAGAATACAGGCACAAATAGCCAGAAATTGATGCACAAAATCTGTCATGCACACTGGAGAGGAAATGCCTCCATAAACTCACACTTTCTTATGGAGTTATGTCCTTTAACAGATTTTTAACAGTCCTTTAACAGTCAAATGTTGATCTGCAGCAGTAAAGCAGGCATGGACAAAGTCCAGGAGATCTGGCCTGCAGTGGACTCCATTGCCCAGCAGCCCCTGCCTGTGTGCCTGGGACCGGTTTCCATGGAAACCCCAGCAGCCCTGCTGTGGCAGGGCTGGGGTTTCTATGGAGACTGGCCCCAGCAGTGCTGGCAGGCAGCTGTGGTGCTAGCCTCTTCCTGGTGGGGGTTTGGGGTGGGGAACTGTGCTGTGGGTGGGAGCAGGGCAGGCTCAGCTGCTGCAGCCTGTGCAGGGCAGGCAGCAGCAGCAGCACTGTTGGGAGGGGTGGCTACAGAGGGCTACAGGGAATTTTGGGCTGGCTATAGCCCCCCTTAACCCACCTCCAGCACCACCCATGCTGGCACGGTACGCAGCAGGACACAGGGCTGCTCCAAAGCCGGGCTGAGATCTTGTTGTGGTGACAGCATGGTCCAGAGCTAGGGCAGAGCCATGATCTGCAGCCTGCATGCTCCAGGCAGGGACATGCAGGCAGCAGATCGCAGATCACAGCTGCGCCTCAGCTCCCAACCACACTGTCACTGCTGCAAGGAGCTGCAGCAGAGCTGCGAAGTGCTACCTGCACGTCTCTGCCTGGGGCATGCAGGCTGCAGATCACAGCTGTGCCCCAGCTCGAGACCATGTTGTCACCACTGCAAGATCCCAGCCCAGCTCCAGAGCAGCTCCACTTCCTGCCATGCACCCTACAAGCATTCTGGGGGCCAGTCTCCACTGAAACTCTGGGCTGGCTCCATCACAGTGCAGCTGCTATTGGGGTCTCCATAGAAACTGGCCTCAGCTACGTGGGCAGGGACTGCTGGGAAATGGAGTCCGGCCACTAGCCAGATCCACCATTTTGCCCACCCCCACAAGTAAAGCAACCAACCATCCCCAACTTGTAAAAGTCTGTGGCTCCAAAGAGTCTCTAAAACAGGACTTTTGTCCCATATTTTGCCCTTCAAAAGTTGGCCAGTTTGTCACAGTAAGTCGTGAACAAAAGGTTGGATCCCATGTGTGAGAAATTTATTTTGAAAAGAAATAAGTAATCCCTGAGATAAGTAATATTTACCAAGCTCTTACAAATCACTTTAACTGGAAAGAAGACTCATAAAATTAAACTTGCTTTATACCTAGAATCCAAAAATATGTAGATCGGGATCTTTGGTGTTACTGCAAAATAGAAGAACGTTATGGGGCATTTGCTTATCAGCACTTTCCATTGCAATAAGAGTTCAAATTTAATCTATTCATATTAAAAAAGACAATGGACCTGAATTTTCTCTTGCTTACGCCAGTTTTACATGGGACACAGACCAAAGAAATAAAAAAATAGATACTAACTGTGTTAGAAAACATAAAGCTACTCTTTAAACAGTTTTTTAAATAACTCCTACATATCTTTTTTTTTCTTTTTTCCCCAGAAATACATCACAGAATTATCTAGCTCCTGTGCAAAAGAGGTTATTGCTTAACTGAACAGAAAAAATGATAAAGTTTTTTCTTATGGTGAACAAACAAGGTCAGACAAGACTTTCTAGGTACTATGAACATGTGGAACTTCATAAACGGACCCTACTAGAAGCTGAAGTAATCAAAAATTGTCTCTCTCGTTCAAAAGACCAAGTAAGTTTTTTTTTTTTTCCTTATTCAGCCATTTCTTATGGAATCTGATCATGCCAATGTCTCTTGCCTTTTGGCTGTGATTTTCAGTGTAAAGTGACAGCATTGCCAGCAAGTGGCAGAGTGAACAAAGAACATCTGTTTTAATTGTAAGAGAGTTATGGAGAATTATTTATTTCTCCTCTGTTGGCAGTTCTTATGTAGCTTCTGCTTACAACATAAAAATCCAGGTCCAAATAATTCAAAACAGTAAGAACATCCATTGCATGTTATTCTATTTGTATCTGTCATGAAAACAATGGTAGAATACAAGCTTATGCAAGTTAATAAATATTGTGAACTTTATAAACAAGTATTTCTGAGGCTGGAAGTCTAGTATTCTTACAGATGCTCCCTTCTCTTCCCATCCCTTCCTGGACTCAGAAGTCCAGGAGAAATGCAAGAAGGAATTGAATATCTTTTACTCCATAATGATCCTCACCTGGCTCAAACAGCATATACTGAGCTGTTAAGGATATATAGGTAGACATATAGGTCTCTTTGCCAAGCAGTCACACATGCAGTCCCATCAGCTCCAAGTACAAACATTCAAGAAGCCCGAGCCTGAATCAATTCAATCTTTGCAGCTTAGTGTAAACTGTGTAGATTGAACCGATTTGCAAGTGAATAGACATTCACTTTTGATTCCAGAAATGCAGGCACATGCCTGCAGTGGCTCAGGCCAGACGGCGCTGGAGTGAGCCCTTGGCTGGAGAGAAACTGAGATGGGAGGGGGGCATGGCCAGGCCCCACCAGGCCTGAGTATGATTGCGGAGGGGGTGAAACCCCCACCCTGGCCTGCACAGTCCCCAGTTGGGGTGTGCCTGGAGAGGAAAGGGGGAAGTAGCCCCTGCCAGGCATTTTGCACCCTCCCCCATCACCACTCAAGTGGTGGGGGGTGTGGCCAGCCCTGGCAGCAGCCTCCAGCGAACAGGGGATGGAGGGGTGTTTAATTGCCTGCTCCTTCCCCTGTCCCACTGGCACAAATCCCAGCCAGGGTTTGCTAGCCAGGGGTGCAGCAGACCCTGTCAGGCATTTCACCCTGCTTGCTGCTTGAGCAGCAGGGGGTGTGGCCAGCCCTGGCAGCAGCCTCCAGTGAATGGGGGACAGAGTAGGGTTTACTTTCTTTCTCCTTCCCCTGTCCCACCAGCCTGCCTGGGTCTGCCTGGCCAAGTGGAGTAGCTCATGTCAGAGCCCCCCTCCCTTCACTGCTGCAGTGGCAGGGGTGGGGGCCTGGCTAGATGCTAGCTGGGCATGGCACCCTGAGGTGAAGGGGGCAGGAAGGGGGGTTATTCTCTCCTCTGCCCTTTCCTCCCCAGGGACCACAGCCAGCCACAGCTGTACCAGAGAAGACAGCACAGCCCAGCCCAGGGCTGCAGAGTATGCTGGCATTGCTCTGATTTAACTTAAACCAGGAGAGGGTCTGGGACAGAAGTTCCATTAACTGGTATGACCTCAATCAGTTAAGTCTGATACTATATTCAACCAAGTTTATCTCAGACTGGTTTCAGCCATTTTGAAATTGGCTTATGTGCACTGAACTTCTGTTCTGTTACAGGTTTAAATTGGTTTCTGATCACTTAAACCAGTTTATGTGCAACTTCTGTCCCTAGCCCATGTGCAAAATGATGAGTGAGACCTACAATATCATTAGATTTTAAAACACAAAATTGCCTTCTGATTTTTTAGCATTTCAGTTTCCTATTTTCAGACAAGAGCTAGAAACTTTTTTTAAATGAAAGCTCAGTTCTTTCTGTAGTTACATAGTTCCTGAATTAAGGTCTGGAGTGAAATTGGGTGAAAAAAATATTTCTAGATTTTTTTATAACAATCACAAGAATTAGCAACACTGCAAAGATGTTACGGCTTTGCAAGTCAGTTCCCCAGTAGGCAAGAAATCAGTTATTTGGAATCTAGGCATTTTCTGAGTACACTTTATTAATTTACACTATCTGGTTCAGTCCTGGAATAGTGGTGTTCAAGCAACACACAAATAATCTCTTATTTCCAGAATTTCATTTATACCAGTGTAAATCAGGAATGATATAAAGAGTCTATGAGATCATGGAATTATACTTTTGTAAAGGAGAGACAAAGTCCTTGGTATGTCTAGTATATGTACAGTGCATAAGTATGCGCTTACTAGTAAATTAAAGTAATAATTAAGGCATGTTTCACTGCTTGTTTCTGTCTAGTGCTCTTTCATTGAGTATAAGGATTTTAAGCTGGTATACCGGCAGTATGCAGCCCTTTTCATCGTGGTTGGAATCAATGAGACAGAAGTAAGAAATTACATTTAATCCATAAATATTGTAATTTAAATCAATCTTTGTAGATGGCATTGACTCATTCTTTTTTCCCAATGCAGTTTTGCATTTTCAATTACAGAATTTTAAGGAGTCATTGTGAAAACCTCATACTTCATTGGTAGACTTCATACTGTTGTAACGATCTGAAATGTTGCCATTGGAGGCTCCTAATTATAGTCTAATGATAAATTCTATGTTGTGAATTGATGTTTGTTTATTATCTGAGGTGCTTTAGCCTTATTAGCCTCAGATTTCACTAGCCAAGACAACAGAGTACAGAGATGGAAGCAACTAAAACACTCTCAGGCTAAGCAGATTTAGCATTGTTAAGAAAAAGAAGCATGTATGACTGAAATCTACCTTTATATTAGGCCCATATTCAAGACCAGTAACATAATCAGGGCAGTAGCCCCAGGCATTGGCTTGGGGGGTGAGGGGGAAAGGAGCTAAGGGCAAGGATGCCGCATGGCCCCAGAGGGTGGGGGGCATAGTGACCACCTGCAGACGGTGGTGGCAGTGTTGGTGGCAAGCGAGGAGCTCCTGCAGGCTGTCGCGGCAGTGTCGTCAGCGGGGGCGGGCCAAGTGGGGAGCTCCCGCACGTGGCCACAACAATGTCAGCAGTGGAAAGGGGACGGAGGAGGTGGTAAGCGGCGACCACCCGCAAGTGCCACTGGCAGCACCGGTGGGACTTTTCGCAGGGAGTGCACCACCAATCTCAGGGGGTGCACATGCATCCTCATGCACCCCCTACACATCGCCAGTGGCCAAGTGGGAGGAGAGGACAAAAATAATAGCTATTGCCAGTGTGCTGGCTGGCTGTACTGCCAGACCTGGCAGCCAGAAGCCACTGCTGCTTTTTGTACTGCTGCTGCCCAAGGTGCAGAGCTTTCCTTTTACACCTCTGTTAAGGAAAGCAAAATTAATAATTGGTTTAGGTCCATCTGTGTTTAGGGAAACACTTATGCATATGCTGTATTTTAATTTCAGTGGGGTTTGAGCACAAGTTGGTTGCAATAGACTTGACTTTCCAAATTGGAGTGATTATCAGTAAAAAAAAGATTCCCTGCTTTGCCCATAAGCCTTTTAGTTCAGTATTCTTCTATTAAGTCAACTTAAACAATATAAAAGTTACAAAGTATAGACAGATCTGGAAATACCTCTATTCTTTTTTCCCCCAAATTCCTTACACAAACAAAATTCTTACAAAGTAAGATTTCTAGATTTATGCTTCTGACATACAATGCATTGGCTCCCATTAGGGTTTTTATTTGATTGGCACTCATAATAATTAAATCTGTACCAGTGGTCTTAACCTTTTTAAACTCAAGACACCCTTTATTAGACTCAAGGTACCCCATGGAAAAGGCCAGTACTTAGCATTCCTCCATTTTTTGTCTATGCAAGAAAAGCAATTCTTCTGTTGCAAAGAACTCAGAAAGCCCACAATAGGTCTTAATGTTTTGAACACTGTGTATTCCTATTTGAAATCTCTGGGTTTATCCTGTAAATCACTTCTAAGTTTTTGCATACCTAACAGCGCTAATATTGCATGGCATTCTGTGACACCCTTAAAAGGACCTTGTGACAACCTGGTTTAGAAGCACTGCTCTCCACAGTGGTAGCAGATGATATGTCACCTAACCCAACTTCAAGCTGGCCAACATTTAGGGGTGATACCGATGGCCAATTATTAACCAGCCATATCAGCTGATACTGATCCAATTGCCAATATGCAGCCCAGCAGCTTGGAGAGCAGTGTCTGCCAGTAAATCTGCTGGGGGGAAGGGGCATGAGGGAGGGAAGGGCTGTGGGGTGGGGACAGATCAAGGCCCCCACAGGAGGGAGTGGGTGCTGGGGCAGGGGCAGAGGCAAAAACTGCCTAGCCGGGGTATGGCACAGGGCAGAACTGTGGGCAACTCATATGTGGACGTGGCTTCCACTGCTGAGCGCAACCCCTCGGAAGGCATGTTGGGCACGTGCCTCCCAGGTGTGTACATGGAGTGAAGGTATGCTGCCCACTGCAGGCTGGGGCCAGGGACTGCACTGTTCTCTTCCCAATGTGCGGGGGCTGGGCTGGGGCAGGCAGACAGGGCTGGGGTGGCAGTGGTGCTGGGAGAGAGGGCTACAGGGTGGTCGACAGCCACCCCAAAATTCACTGTTGTCTCCTGTAGCCCGCCTCCCAGCGCTGCCACCACCCACCCCAGCCCCACTCGCACAGAGTGCAGCCCCAGCCCAGCCCTGCTGCTGGGAAGAGGCCAGCTCAGCCCCCCTGGCCCCAAGCCCACAGTGGGCAACCCACCCTTGCCCCACGTACAAATCCAGGGGGCACATACCCCCCATTTCTTCCCTGGAGGTCTGCTTAGCAGTGGGAGCTGCCCCACCCACCAAATGAGCTTCCGGTGGCTCCATCTTGCACCCCGCCCCACCTCAGCTGGGCACTCCCTGCCCTGCCCCAGCCGCCACTCCCTCCCTCACTGTGGGGGCCTCAATCTGTGCCCCACTACTCCCTCCCACCCAGACTTACCTGCCAGATGCTGCTCTCCAAGCTGCTGGGCTGCATACCTGGCCATGTGCATGCTGCATCTGTATGAATGCATGTGGCATTTATTAGTGACATTATCAGCTGCTTCGGCCAAAAGAGCCAATTGCTGATAATGTCAATTTTCCTTTTACCAGTGCCAAAATGATATACATCGATATATCTGTGCACCCCTATCAACATGGCATAGTGTTGCCATGAAGGCGACACTAGCACTCCCATTTTTGCTATTATGGATGAAACTCAACACAGTGACTCACAACAGTGGCAATTTTTAACAGAAGTTTCCTAGTCCAGAAAAGTCAATGACATGAGAGTGTGGAGAAGCAGCACTTAAAGAAGGATAGTTAGGATAAAGAATATATTTTTGGGGGGTAAGGAGCGGATCTTGTTTATACTACTAAATTTCCAGCTGTACCAGTGCAAGCAGTGGCATCATTACTAATGTCTACCAGATTTAAGCATTTATTACTGTGTTATGAAACAGGCCATACTACAGTCCTATTTATGTTGTTGAGGCAGCACCAGTTCTGGAAAACAAATACAAACATTTATACTGTTGTAGTGTAGACCTACCCTAGAGGTCAGGAAGGATGATGACTGCTGTATGAATGCTTTCTTCTGAGCCAGAGCTATAGTGACTTACATCTTAGAGCAAGTTGTTCAACTCTGATGTATTATACAACAATAATGTATATATATTTTTGAAGTAGCTACTAGAAGTATGTCAACACTGCAGTTGGAATTTGTGACTGCAGCGTGGGTAAATGTACTAAAACTGGCTCCTTTAATTTAACTAGCATGGGCAACAACAGCGGTGAAGATAAGATGATACAAACATCAGCACTAGCTATACCAGCTTGTTAGAGACCCAGGTTCCTTAGTCATCTGACATGCACTAAAGCTTATGCCAATGTGGCTGTACTGCTACCATTACTTAAACTAGTTTGATTAATGCTAGCTAAAGTGTATATACCCAGCTGCAGTACGTAGGCATATCTTTAAGAGTAGCTAAAGATTGCATATTAACCGATGCCACTTCACAACTACTTTCCAACTGCTTTTCAAAATCTGCTCATCTCATATGAAAATTGAATGTTTAAGAGTAGCACATTGCATCTATATTACCTTACATCTATAGTATGTCTATTCATTTAATATTTGTTTGCTTTCCATTTAATTTCAGAATGAGATGGCTGTATATGAACTAATTCATAATTTTGTGGAGGTTTTGGATAAATATTTCAGCAGAGTGGTAAGACCTGGAATCCATTACACAGTGATTCTTGTCTTTGAAAACTTTAATGAAGAGATTGTTCACTAATGCTTAAAGTTGTCAGTTACTTTATAACATACAGTGATAAAAGCATACATGGCCTGTAAACTGTCAGCGAGTGCAAAAATATTTCTGCTAAACCAGCTTTGTTACTGGCTTAACCCCCTAGAGGTCCTTCTAGGGAACTGAAGCATCCCACTCTGATATCAACACTAGCCTTTAAATTAGCTGTTTTTATATTTGTTCTGAAAAATCCCCAAATAAGCTTCCCTGGTGCTAAAAATGGTGAAATCACTAGTGTATGCAGGGCACTCACAGTCACCTGGACTGAGGAAGCTTAACACAAAGCAGAGGTTGAAACATCAGCTGCATCCCACTATTGCTATTACTGGTAGCATTGCAACAGTGGCAATTTAAGAAGACTGGTATATACAAAAATCATAGAGTTAAGGAATGAATTTCAGACATGTTTCCAGTTAAAAATTACTGGTTTCTTACAAAGTTTGGCCAACCAGCATGATGGTCCTAGACTAGAATAAATCTATTGAATGTGGTTCTGGTACTATTTGATATAGGATGAACGAACCTGGTTAGAAGCAGGTTTAGCTAAAATTTTGTTTACACAGTTTCAACATGGTAACCTTTGCAGGCTGTCCTTCCTCTTCCCTGATTCAAGTTGGTGAATGGCCTCTGTATAACAAAGTACTGCTTCTTTCGGAACCTATCATCTCCATGGTATGCCATTTATAACACCACATGCTAGAAATCGCCATGTCCTCTTGAGATTTATAACTTTGATTTCCCAACACTAGTGCAAACATTTCTTACAGTAGATATAGGCCATTTGAACTAATCATGTAAATTCAATGTCAACAAGAGATAACCTTCCCGGAACCCCTCACTATTACAATGCTGGGCAAACTCCCAACTAACCTTATCATGCTGAAAATTGGCCACCACAGGATATCCCATTTCTTTATTGCACTTAGTTTAGAAATTCTTTGTTAAATCTGCTCTGATGGCAGTCACTACCGAAGCACTGACATCAGCAAACAAATTTGATCTTTCATACGCACTAGAATTTACTAGCACTTATTTGCCCAATTGAACTAAGCCTGATGCCAGCTGTTTCCCAGATTTAGATTTTTCAGCCATGACAGTATAAACTAGACTTAGTTTTAAGCTATTTTCTAATAACTCTTCAGGCAAACTTGTAAATCTGCTACATTTACCAATTGTTACACAGCCATTTCTTGAAAGTGTACATAGTCTAAAAACTGAGGGTTGTTGACAATGTACTGAATATATTATAGCACAGAGGTTAGCATTTCTCAAAGCAGTTAGGCTTTAAAACTGTGAGGACTGAAAAGGGGAGTGGGTCAGAGAAATCACATACCATACCATAGTTCTATTTTTAATAGCATATAACACATAGAATAAATAGCAGGCCACTGAATAGCAGAGCTTATAATTCCAACTTGAGGTTCTGGTAGAAACCACAGAGCAAAGGGAATACATCTGTCCTGTACTAGATTAATGTATAGTATTTTAACAGCAACCTAAATTATGATTCTGACAACAGAAAAAGGGAAAGATAAACAGAACTGTGGGAAAGAAAAGAACATCTGTCCTGCTCTGGAGGGACATTTTGTCATCTTTATATTTTTAGGTTTGTGAGTTTTAAACATTCTTGCACAAGCTATTTTTATCTAATGGAGTTTCCAGAGCTTAAATTCAGATATCAGAACTTATGCTGATGTACTGAAGTAAATACTCACAGAATGAGGGGCAAGTTTTCAAAGATGCCTGTGGGATTGAACTCTGCTTCTCCTTACATAGGAGCTACATAACTAGAACCTCTGCAGAGTGTAGAATACATACCTCCCCTTTTTTCAATAAAGATTTTTAATCATGAGGATAAACTGAACCAATCTCTCTCAAATTCTGATCTTATCATACATTATAAACCTTTTAAACAAGGAATGTCAGTAATTTAGTGGTGAGAATGGAATTAAGGAGAGAACATTTTAATTTTGATCCATAGCTACCAAGTTAAGACACGTGAAATTCTCACATTGCAGCAGCACTATGTCAATAGGATCCTGGCATAACGTCAAGGATAGAATACAGGACCTCCAAGAAAAGGCAAAGAAGCCCTACGGAGGCTTATGTTCCCCTCCAGGCAGACTATAGGAAGCATCAATCTCCTTGGATAGAAACTTAATCCCTGAGGAGGGAAAGGATGAAATGGCTTGGCTTCAGTGCCTGGAACAGAACGCCCGTTAAACTTCAGGGACCTGCAATTCAAAAACTGTATAGCAACCCCCCCTTCTGTAGTATGGCACTGCACCATTCAACAATAACAAGTATGCACCTTAGCTAGATGTTTCTGCTACAATATGTAGAGATTTAATTACCAGTGTTTATACCATCTTTAAACAATCCTTACTAAACTTCTGAGTTACTACTCTTTTTGGTGGTTGGGGGTGGCAGTGGGATTTACATGCTCAAGTATACTATTTCTGGCTGTATTTCTTCAGACTTGTGAATTCATATCTTCAGAGAAGTTTTAACAGTTAGCAACTATAATTCTCTGAAGTTTATTTTTTTAAATGGGAGATTAAATTCTAAGGAATCTAAGTTTGTCAAGAAAGATGGGATAATGTATCATTGTGTAGAGCATGCTATAACTATATCTGTGTCCTTCCAGAACTGTTCTTCTTCAACAGGAGAAATAGCTTTTAATGCTTTATGACCATAAGGTTAATGATAATCCATACATTGACAACTAATACCTACTTATCTTTTCTCTTCCAGAGTGAATTAGATGTATCCTTTTCAGTATTACAAATCTATTTATATTTTTCCATTTTCCAACTGCCTTTGTGGCACTAGTTGGCAGGCATTCAAGATAAAGTAGTACCATGTCAACAAATGAATACTGCAGGTAGAATAATTGGTACATTCCTGGGGCCCAGTAGAGAAAGTGCGTGCTGCTGCTGCCAGTGAAGTCTCCTTGCTTAAGAGACTTTACATCAACCTAAAAACAATGCTAGTATGGAGCCAATTCTTTATGAAGGTAACTTGGTAAGTGAGACAGAGGGCTTACTAGCGTAAAAGATTTATAAACACAATGTTTGGATATAAGGAAGTAAAGGAAGGGTTGTTTTTTGTTTTACTTTTTTTTTAATTTACAGTAAAATAAATATTGAAATAGATTACTAAAACCAAAGGAGTGAACATTATAGCAGTACTACGATGCCCTAGATATACTAGTGTAAACTGTCATACAATTGGTTTGTATGCCAATGTCAAATGTGAGTGGACATGTGATATGCAGCTCTGAGTCAGTGTAATTCACTCAAAGGCAGCGTAGACTTACCCTGAGAAAAATAAGGGTAAAACTACAATGGTATAATTTTTCCCAGCATAGATATTTTGCATTCACAGCTTACCCCTAGGCAGACATTTGTTCATGGTAAACATGCTACCATATTGTGTATCCAGGACGAATGCTGCCCTGGAGTCATGCAGCCTGGGACTGGGACCAGGACTTGATGTTCCCATTTCAGAACTGTCTTGCCCAGTTAGGGACAGGTGATCACCCTGTGTCAAGGGGGCCTCTTGTAGAAAATCACTTGCCTGGTAATGTAAATGGAGGTTTATGGGATTTAGGACTAAGTTACTAATCATCTTTTATAGTATCATCTTCAAAAAAGGTTTCTACATCCATCATATGCAACTCCTAGAGTAATGGCCAGTGCATCTCCCCTGACATTAGGCTGGTCATTGATTTTTCAGGGTATTATTATACTTTTTTTTTTTTTTTTTTTATCTTGGAGCATTTTTTAAATAAAACATTTCCCAACACATTAAAATGTTGTTGTCTAATTAGAAAAGGTAAAACCCTTGTGCGAGTTGAGAGCACATGTAAAATAGGAAAACCAATTCCTAGACATGCTGAATAAAGTATTATATTGGGGTAGTACTGAGGTGACCCTTCAGTGCTGTTTACCTTTTTTGTTTTTTAACAGAAATTTGAGAAACAAACAGCAGAAAAAATGATGCAACAACTGGGCTACAAGTACTTGAGACAGATGTTACTAAAGTACAAATAGTATTTCATCAAACTGCTATTTATAGCACATAAAATAGAAACCCTGCTTGAGATCAGATCATTTCCTTTGCCAAATACTCTGAGCTAACTCTCAAACGTAGATTCACAATACCTTATGAAGGAAGTATAATTTGAATGCCTGTAAGCATATATGCATTATTTACAGACTCTTTGTATACTCGGCATCCGGCTGAGCCCATCATGATTTCCTGTCTCTATAGTAACAATAATGTATCCAAAGCCACATGAAGCCATTTATAAAAGCAATAGGGCCAGATTCTAATCCACCTATTAGTGTGATCCTGTTCCACTCTGCTCAAATCCCTGAAGAACACTTAGCACACAAGGTGCGTTGATCCTCCTGCTTGCTGTTTCTTGTGTCCTTAGGGTTAAGGGTAAGGTGATGATATTTTAAACCAGTGATTCCCATCCTTTTTTTGCCACAACCTGCTGCTGGGAGCGGAGCATGGTGGCGGCGGTCCAGGGCTGGGGGAGCTCCCAGCATGTGGCATAGCTCATCCTTTGTGTGAGGCGCCACCGGCATTGCCCCCATGGCCCTCATTCGGGTTGCGACCCAAGGTTGGGAACCGCTGTTTGAAACAGTTTTTTCAGGGACTTTAGCAGGGTGGAATTGGATCACATGTAGGTGCCTAATAGGCAGAATAAGATCTGGCCCAGACTTGATGTTTTTAACAATAAGATTTACTAAAGGAAATAAAGATCAGCAGATACTCCAAATATATCATTCATCAGGAACCAGGAGTTCTCCCTTCTGTGAAGGGCCTTCCACTGAAGACAGTTTCCACATGCAGTGCCACCCTAGCATAATTATGCTGCGTCCAGTTGCAGAGGTAGCATACACACAGGAAGCATGGCATGTCTCAGCATAGCAGTGCCTTATGTCATAGAGCAAGGATGTTAAACATACAGCCCATGAGCCATATCTAGCCCATAGAACCCTATGATTTGACTCTCAGATTGACCCCGTGAACCACATGGCCGGAGTAGCCAGTTTGGAATGCAGGCTGGACCCAGAGTTGTGGATGCGGCATGCAGCACGGGGGATTTGGCCTGGGTACAGGCATGCAGTGATTGCTGGCTCTGAGACTGGCCTGAATTGGGCCAGGCCAGGGACAGTGTCCAGGGTGAGTCGGCAGGGCACCACATATAGCATGTGTCCCATGCTGGCCCCACACTACAGGCAGTGCGTCCCACTGGTCCAACCCCATGCATTGCATGCAGCATGCACTAGCCCTGCTCTGTACTGCATGTGGTGCATAAATTGGCCCTGGTGCTATGGGCACTTGCATGTAGCAGAGGATCTCAGACATGGATTGCCTGGGGCACCTCACTAGACAGGGCCATACCTTGATTCTGGCGCATGGTCCTGATCCAGCCCACATACCAACACTTGGCCAGAGGGGTTGGTTGAATTGGACTCCCCTGCCATATTGGCATAGCCTTAGTTAGTTGGCCTGAACTTTTCTAAGTATCTCCTTGTAAGTCAATCCTTAGGTACAAATGTTGCTGCTATAGTCCCAAGAAACATAAATTTTGTACACACATTCAAATAATCTGGGATAATTCTTCTCAGTTTGTTTTCCTAGTAGACAAAGGATACATCTGAAAAAACATTTGAATGCTGATCCCCTGAAGAGCAGAGAGCTTGCAGTGCTGATGCTGTGAACTCACAGGGCCCTATGCACACATCAGTGTGCTCTGCAGGCTCCCTCAGTCTTCTCAAAGACAGATGGCAGCAGTAAACAGGACAGCCCTGATAGGTCACAACACAGTTCTTTAGTATTCCAACCAATCTCAGAAAATTATCTGTGTAGAAATTCACTCTCTCAGGAGAAACTCTCCTGGGAGTGATTTAGTTCTGAAAGTTCTCAGGTTATTTTTTCCCCCTTAATTGGCCATTTCTGCTCCAGGAGAAAAATTCTGAACTTCTATACACTCATAGTTTCTCCTGGAAAAATAGACAGTCTCCCAGGAGAAACTGAATGTCTGTACATGGCCAGAGGACTATGTACTGTGTTAGAAGCCAAGGTCTTTTGCTGCCATTTTATTAAGTCTTTGGTCCAAATTTATATTTGTCCATCCTTCCCCTCTATCTATAACAATTCTTATTATTGCAAATACCTCACAATCTAAAAGCTCCCATCTAGGTCAAAATAAGGTAAATTATATCCCCTTAAATATAACCTTTTCCCCAGAGATATCTTTCTTTTGAAAGGGAAGGATGCACTTGTACCAAAACGAGATTGTGTGTATATCCATACCCACTCCCAACTACTCTCAAACCCCTTCAAGCAATAGAAAAAGGACTGAGATAATCCAAGCTTAATGCAAAGAATCCCCAGTGATAAATCAGCAAAATCCCAGTTGAATACAAATGCTGTTACTAGTGCACAACTGAAGATACCACAGCAAAACCAATATATGCAATATGTAGAAAACCACTGTTCTCCAATTTGAAACAAGTTTATCTTTAATTGTTAGGGCTTTGCAAAGAAAATCTATTACAAGTGAAAATATCATTCTGATCCCATCTAAGACCCTGTATATGTCATGCAAATTGACATAAAGTCTATTGACCAATCAGGGAAGGGATGAAGAGAATGAATGGAAGAAATAAAATCTCCTAGAAATAATATATGCGTTCCTGCAGTCACAAAGCCTATGTGAATGAAAAAGAACCTTTTGGGGAATGCTAAATTTTAACTTATTTACTGTCCTTCCATTTGTAATGATGTACACTTAAAAGGAAAATAAATGGTGAAAACTCCATCAAAAGTAAAGGACAGGATGCAGGCTTTTCCTACTAAATTTAAAATAGGAAAACTTCATTGTCAGGAATGAAAACATATCTTTTTTTTTTTAAACCAGCTACTTCATTTTTGGCTGCAATCCCAAAAACCACTTATGCATAAACTTAGTTTTAAGCACATGAGTAATCTAATTATTGAGTTCAGCAGGACTACTCATGTGTCTAAAGTGCGTGTGTGCAAAAACACAACCTTAAATATATTACATGTAGCAACAAGAAAAATGGATTAATACTAGTCGATTAAAGGGGGTGTTTTAGACAACCACTTTGAATTCTGAGCAAATATTTCTGTTGGGAGCAACCTTTATATGTGAACTGGAGAGGGAGGCAGTTGGAAACAACGTTTTCAACAAGTTTCCACTTTGTGTGGGAATTAGTCATTTGCAGAATTAAGAGTTTAGGTCAGACTATGATCAGGAACATTTCCAAAATTGTATTTTACAAAATTGCTGCCTGATACTTGTGCTGAGGCCATTTGAATGGACAGTGCTAATACAACTATTGAAAAGTTGCTGTGGAGTATGTTAATACCACTGATAAGCTCAATTTCTGTGTATAAG